GTCGTCCGCAGGCCACGAAGTGAAGTGTCCGAACGTCATAGGGCGGGAAGCTGGGTGTGGGTGGTGGCGAAGAGTCGTGTGGATATTTGGTAGAGCTTGCACTGCCCCCCCACAAAGTGGGGGTATTGGCTGGCGTCGCATGAAAACCCTGGCACTGGTGAGAACACTGAGCGTTCGGGTAAAGTGATTGTTGTTGTTGTTGTTGTTGTGTTGTTGTCGTTGTCGTCGTCGTCGTCGTCGTCGTCGTCGTCGTTGTTGTTGTTGTTGTTGTTGTTGTTGTTGTTGTTGTTGTTGTTGTTGTTGTTGTTGTTGTTGTTGTTGTCGTTGTGGTTGTTGTTGTTGCTGCTGCACGGATCGCGAGTTCTGGGCACGCGGGCCAGCAGTTTTTCTGCTCACGAGGGGCCGTGGCCTGTCTCTCCACAGGAGGAGTACTCAGACATAGTCAAACACAATAGTCTGGGGACGACTTTTGGATTCTTATTTTTCCTTCCCAAATCCGCCTGCAAGGAGGACACGCACGACCTAAGCAGATCTAGTGTTGCCAGGGATTGCAGTCTCGGATGCGCGGGTCCATTCATGTGCTGTTTGTTGCTTAATGGATCGTGGCCGGGGGAGCGCGGCCCCGTTGTGTTCTGGAGGGATCGTGGCGTCGGGAGGAGTGCGGCCTCACAGGTCTTGTTTAGCCAGGGATACTGGCCTTGGGAGTGCTGGCAGTAGCATCTTCGGGGGCGCGGACCCATCGTCTTTTTTAGGAGGGGTGGTCGTTGCGCGCGGGAGCGCGGTCCCCATCCTTGATTGGACGGGATTGGCAGAGTGCGGGTCGACAGGAGGAGGAGGAGGAGGAGGAGGAGGAGGAGGAGGAGGAGGAGGAGGAGGAGGAGGAGGAGGATGAGGAGGATGAGCAGGAGGAGGAGGAGGAGGAGGAGAGGAGGAGGAGGAGGAGGGAGGAGGAGGAGGAGGAGGAGGAGGGAGGAGGAGGAGGAGGAGGAGGAGGAGGAGGAGGAGGGTGGAGTGAGGGTCGTCATTTTGTTCGGACTCTGTGCTGTTGGGTCCTCGCGTTCTCTCCCGCTGCGCCACGCGCCACGCGCCCAGTTCCCTCCCGCCCCCCTCACACGCCTCGTGCCCCGTGGGGAGCTTTACCTTATTCCGCAGGCCCAGGTTTTACCTGTGCCCCTCCCCTGACTCCTCCTCCTCCTCCTCCTCCTCCTCCTCCTCCTCTCCTCCTCCTCCTCCTCCTCCCCCCGCTCGGCACACCCCTCACACGTCTCGTGCCCAAGGGGGAACTCCACCGGATGCCGCAGTCCAGGGGCTTGCCTATGCCCCCCCCCCCCCGCCCGTTTCGGCGCAGCCCTCCCGCACTTCGTGCCCCGCAGGGAGCTCCACCTCAGTTTCCCTCCCGTTCTAGGGATCCAACGGCGGGTGCAGGTCCATTGCTCGCATGTGCTCCCCCGCCCGTTTCGGCGCACCCCTCGCACGTTTCGGCGCACCCCTCGCTCCCGTTCCTTCCCGCCCTCCTGCGAGGCACAGTGTACGAACGAGGGGAGGAACACTTCCTGCGCTGCACGCCGCTGCTTAGGGTTGGGTCCTTCGCCAGGCGAAGTTTACGAGGGGCGCGGTCGGGGGAACGCCGGGGCACAGTACTTCATGTGCCTCTGGGTATCCAGAGATTCGGAGGATGCGGTTCGGGAGTGGTCATGGCTGCTTGTGGGCCGATGTGGCGCGCGCGCGCGCTGCGAAGCCTGTCATCTCACCTTCCGAGAGAATCAGCACACTGACGCGTGTGAGAGGTGTTGGCTGGTCTGAGAGCAAGCAACCGCTGCCAAGATGTCGTGCTCCAGAGAATCATGCAGTCAGTCAGTCAGTCAGTCAGTCAGTTAGTCAGTCAGCCAGCCAGCCAGCCGGCCAGCCAGCCAGCCAGCCAGCTAGTCAGCCAGTCAATCAGTCAGTCAGTGAGTCAGTCGACGATCGACGACGACGACGAACGATCGACAACGACCAACGATCAGTGCTCTTTGATTAATCGCGTCAGCGAGAGCTCCTGCTGTTCAGCCCCACCCCCCCCAGTTTAATAGGCCGGAGGAGTGGAGGGAGGAGAAGAGGGGAGGTGGGGGAGCGGAGGAAGAGGAGGAGGAGGAGAAGGAGGAGAAGGAGGAGGAGGAGGAAGAGCAGGAGGAGGAAGAGGAAGAGGAGGATGAGGCGGAGGAGCAGGAGGAGGAGGAGCAGGAGGAGGAGGAGGAGGAGGAGGAGGAGGAGGAGTAGGAGGAGGACGAGAACGTTGAAACGGGTTGCAACGACTGAGGAAGACGAGGAGGAGGAGGCGGAGGAGGAGGAGGAGAAGGAGGAGAGAGGAGGAGGGAGGAGGGAGGAGGGAGGAAGGAGGAGGGAGGAGGGATGATGCTGCCGCTGATGATGATGATGATGATGATGATGATGATGATGATGATGATGATGATGATGATGATGTTGTTGCAGATGATGCTGATGATGCCGATGCTGATGA